GGTACCACAGACTCAGACCTTGAACACGGCGGTGTTCTTTCCTGGTTAAAATCTCATTTGGCCAGAAATCTGAGTATTCAGTCTTCTCCTTCCTGCCCCTAACATTCTGGTGCCTTCTCTCCACCCCCATCCGCCCATCTTTTTGGCTTACTGCAACCTGAGTGCTACTTTTTCTGGGAAAGCCTGATATTCTGAGTTCAGTTTTATAATTTAATGATAGAGAGTTTCCTTAGTAAACCAAATTTAGAATCCTAGAATGCTTATCTTATATCCAGACCTTGAACATAAAAGGCATTTTATACCCGCAATTGTTCATTTAATGAGCAATTGCGGAGTGCAGGCCGGTTAAGGGATTGAGCTATATGCACTATTATTGCAAGAAGTATTCCGAAATACCAGAAATAGGACGTAAGCTCTGATCAGGGAGACTGCGAGCACAATTACCTTCTTTTCAAATCCTTCTGTGACACTGCGGGAGGAAAAAGGACTTTGAAACTTGAAAGGAAAGAGCTTGCTTTCAACCTCAAAAGCTAGGAGGAAAGGGCTCTGAAATTTGCTCAGAATTCCCAATTCACCATTAGCCTGTTTCTTCCTTTAGCCTCAAGGCATTCTCCGCTTTTTGAAAAGATGTTAAGAAATTCAGTCACAATAGAGAGCCTAGTTTTGAACATGTTTCACTCGGTCCATTGAGGTCTGGGCTCCAGCCTTTGTGTGGGGTGAATTGAGCTGAGCGGCTAGCTGGTTGGAGAGAGGTGAATGAGGAGTCGCTGTGCAGTCGCAAATTCTGGCAAAGAAAAAAAAAAAGCTCACCCCTTCCTTTATTTTGTAATGTGCATTCCTGTACAATCCTGCCAGTGGCAATATGTGGAGTTCAGTCTGTCCCTAAGTCAATATGGAGTACTTGGTTTATAGCAACTCTTGTTAAGTTTGTCTTGTAATTGAAGCTGCTGTTGACCTTGCTTGGGGACCATTTGTAAAACCGTTTATTTAGCATAAACTGAAATAATAAACCCTCCTTCTCTGGGGCCGATTGTGATAGGGTGACATTAGTTTGATTTAATGATTACCCGCCTGACCCTTCTGCTGGAGAGGGAGGCTTGAATAGGGAGAGTTCACTTCCAAGCACTTGCAAAGAATACTAATGAGCTTGTTAAATTTAGCATGGCTCCAACCACTTTTAATTCCTCTAATGGGAGCCTTGCTGCCTGCAAGAGGGAGAGAGAGAGAGGCAAGAAAGGCCAAGAGATACTGAGACTGTTCCTAGAGGGCTGGCACAGCTCGAGAAGCTAAGTTTATAAAAAGTAGATAGCCAGAGTCCAGGGACTGAGTTGTAAGTATCATCTGTTTGCTTACTTTACACCCCCACCCTCCACCCCACCCCACCCCAACCCGTGCAGCTTTTATAGCTAGGGGGCAAGGGAAGAGTAATGGCATTAAAATGGGTTTTCAACAACAGGGCAAAATGGGTGTTAATGGAGAGAAGAGCTAGCAGGTGTTCTTTGAGCTCCCAAGCAGCCAATTTTGCAGTGAATGGAGGTGTCCTTCTTAATGATGCCTAGTGGAGTTTTGTTTTTGCATGGAGACCTTTGTGTGAAACAAGTCTTACATACTAGGTGAAAAGGACCCTGTCTCCCTTGTTTCAGGAGTTTGTGATCAAGTGTGCAGGAGTGTGTCTGAGTCTTCTTTCATAGAGCTAGGGTCCTTCACGATACCTGCCCTGACACAGTGTTTGCAGCCGGGCTGTGTTTGCTTTCTGAGTCTCTGTTCTGACTCCCTGTTGGTTGATTTTGCAGGAGTTTGGAAAATCTGGGGCAGTCTCTAAGGCAGGGTGCTTCAGGGAGCTCTGTCTTTGGATGTGGATTCGTCCAGGTCTACCTAAACACAGATGACAGAAAGAAGGGGGTACCAGTGGGATTGTGGTGACAGCATTTGGAATAATTGTTCCCTTACACTTCTGAGAAAATTGCATGTTTCAGCTTGACCCCCAAGCTTACAGCTTTTCAGCAGGGAAGCTCAAACAGTTGCCTGTGTTTGGCTGTTAAAACCCATTGGCAGATGCTCTTGGAGCCCTGGGCTGTTTGCTTTCGTTCTTGCTTCTGACTTCTGCTTGTTGCCATGGTGGACAGTATGTTTCTGTCAATAATTTGGCCTAGTGTAGCCTGTCTGCACTGACTCTCAAACTTTATTGAACAGCTCGCCTCAGCTGAACGAGATGAGACAGCTTTCGTCTTTTGGCATGCAGGAGTGGTTGCTAAATTTATAAGAGTAGGCAGGAATAATGCTCTGGAGTTGCGCTTTCCTTGTGTACACAGAACTCTGAGTCTCAGCTGTTTGTATTTGGGAGCGTGTGCATTGTCTAGTTTACATCTGAATGCCCATCAAAAGCAACTCTACACAGGGAGGTAAATGCATGAAGTGTGTGTCTTCTGGCATTTGGGGGCAGAGGGTTGTTGAGTAAAAAGGTCACAGTGCCAACTGTGTAATAAAAATTAAGGTTTCCTGATGAAAGTTTCTGTATTAAAAACATTCTTGCCTGCATTTAACTTTATGAAGTTAGAAATGCCTTCATTTTTTTCTTCCTGTATTAACTATTTGAGCTTGTATGGTCTTTCACACATGTTGGGATAATTCTCATTAGCAAACTCACGACCACTATGTTAAGAAGCTACCCCAAGTTTTCCTGCCTTCCTACTTTCTCCCTGAAGAGTGAAGGAACCTGACAGGGCTAAGACCATACTAACTATCCAGTTGTTAGTGAAGTTGTGTTCACTCACTGTTGGAGGACACACCATCACAGAACCAGAGTTTGATTGTAGGGATGCAATTTTCAGGTAAAAAAAATTATTTCCTCTGGGAGGATGAAGCCATGGAACCCCATTTTAAATCTGGAATAGATTAGTAAGACTTGCTTACTCATTTTCCCCAGAGAATGCTAATCAGGTGTCACAGCCCCTCTGGAAGGATTTTCTGTTCTATAGAATGTACCCCTCACCACTCTAAATTAACTTCAGTCTGAAATTTTAAATAAAGGATTTGCAGAGCACAAATGAGTGGAAACTATGACTTGGCATTTGAAGACTGTAGGGCTTTTTTATTTTATTTTTTATTTTTATTTTATTTTTTAATAAAACTGCTAGTTTCAGTGTTTCTGACGCCCATCTGTTTTTTTTTTTTTTTTTTTTTTTTAAAGTCTGAAGTCCTTTCTGTAGCCTGCAACCACACTGCTAATGAGGTTCTGGGGCAGACCCATGCCTGTGTTTATGAACAGGGAGAAGAAAAATGAAGGCTCTTATTTGTTTATTTTTGGTAGTTTGTCTTAAAATTACCAGCAGGAATAATTTGAATTACTTTTCCAAAGATCAATGTGAAAATTTGGGATTATTTCAAGTTTTTGTGGGTTTTAGTTTTTACTTGATAGATTAAACTTGTGATTTACCCTTTAATTATGAGCTATCAGGTGAAAATCTGCACAAAACAATACAAAAATAATATTTCACAGTTGCTTTGTGGTGGTCAGCAGATTTATTGTAGAGACTCCAGGATACCTCATCATGTTTTACAAGGCATTTGGGGTAAAATAATTAAGCATTTATTTTCGAGCTCTAAAGTTGGTATTGACATTAGGTAAAATTGTAGTTGTAATCTCTGTTTCTAATAATATATAGCGTGCATGGGTCTGCTTTCCTCCAAAGCAAACCAAGAGCTATGGGAGTGTTAGAAGTTAGCAATAATCCTGGTTTGGTAACATGTAGGTAATTACATCTTCTTATGGATTACTTTGAAGAGAAGTTTACATACTGAGATGTGTTCAGTCTGTCTGAGATGTTCAACAGTGATTATACCCACATAGTTATTTTTTAAGGATAAAGAATATGAAAGTTCTTGAGTTAGATATTTAGGCAGGACCGGCACAGCTTTGTTTCAGTGAGCTTTTTCTGCTGGAGCAACAAGCGCTGGTTAGATGCAGTTTGTTTGGGGTGCATAGCTGACTGTATGTGATTGTAACAGGCATAGCTGACTGTATGTGATTGTAACAGGCGGATGAATCCACCTGCTGTGAGTTCAGATAGCCAGTTTGGTTGAAGACCATGCCTGAGTTCTAGCAAAAGTCATCCAGTCCCATTCACGGAGACCAGTGGTGTGGAGATGGAAGTTCTTATAGATTAAAGTGAACTCAAGTTTTAGGGATTTGGAAAGAAACTGTGTGGGATTTCATCCTTCTGTTTCTTAGGTGTTTGAGTCACATCTGAGCATGACAGGGAGCAACATCCCCAGACCTTTCTTCCTTACCTGCACAGCCAAGTTACACCTGGACCTTCAGTCTCAACCAGCTTCCCTCTTGGTTTCCCGTTTTGGTGTAAGGGTAGATACATGACGCATATTTTAGGAGGTGCTATACTATTCTTGATCGACACCCTTGGCCCTGGTCACTAGGGGATTCTCAGTTTCATTTCTGGCCTTGTTAAATCTCTTGGTGAGTTACAAATTTGAATCAGAACAAAACCCTAAAACCAGTAACATTCCTTGGCTGGCTTTCCAATATGTCATCTTCTGAGAAACAAAGACCCAGCACCGTCTAGAGCCACCCAGAGCTCCACTGGGCAGCTGGACTTCTCAGGACCCAGAAAATCTTGTTTCCTTAGACAGGTAGACAGAAACTAGGTATCCACATGGTCTAAGGTTGGCAAAGCTTTCAGCCTCGGGTGGGGCATGCAAAATATTGCTGTATTTTGCAGAGACTCTCCAGTGCATTGCCTGGCCCATACTACTTTGTACCTCAGGCTGACTCCTGCTTTATCCTTCCATGTGTAATGTTAGCTACCATTCATAGACAACTTTGTTTTGCAAGTATCCCACCAAAGGCATGTAATTTACAGAGTAGTCATGAAGGACAAAAGAGGCTTCTTTCCAACAGAGAGATAGGGAGAACTATATTGATGACTTTTTTTATTGCTCCTTAAAGAAGATTCTAAAGTCTTTCATTTTCCTTCTTTCTATAGAGGATGAAAGTCCTGGACAGATCTATCACCGAGAGAGAAGAAACGCAATCACTATGCAGCCTCAGAGTGTGCAGGGTCTCAGCAAAATCAGTGAGGAGCCCTCAACATCTAGTGATGAGAGGGCCTCATTGATCAAGAAAGAGATCCATGGATCTCTCCCACATCTGGCAGAGCCCTCTCTCCCTTATCGTGGGACTGTGTTTGCCATGGATCCCCGGAATGGTTACATGGAGCCTCACTACCGTAAGTACTTCCTGCCAATTAGCACTTTTTCTGAGAGACATGGGATGAGAGGGGTGTGTGTGTGTGTGTGTGTGTGCGTGCGCGCTCACGCACACACTTGCACATGAACATCATCTATGAATTTTTCACTTTACATTTATAAAAAGTAAGTTTAATTTTGTGGGTTTTTTCCTACTTTTGATTCTCATCCATTCCTCTTAAAGAGTGACAGTGTCTTGTATTCTAAGCAGCTTTAGGTTTTTCAGGGTATGGGGGTTCAGGGAGATGATTTTTGTTATGAATCCACATATTTACTGGAGCTTGAACCCCATGTGCTTTATCTGTACAAGGATTACTGTTTGAGAAAAATGAGTTGAGGATTGGAAACTATTAAAGGGGGCTGCATTAAAGTCTTTGATATCAGTCTCATTTTTAATAATTTTTTGGTGTAATAGTTTTGAGTATTCTCATGTTTAATGATTTGTTGAAACAAACTAATTTTGAGGATTCATTGCTAAATTTGCTACTATGGAAGTCTTTACTGTGAGCCCAACTCTCCTTATGAGCCTGCCAGAGACACTGGAAGTTGCCTTTTTAGTTCTAATTGAATTAAAGAAATTAAACAGGCCTCTAAGAATGTAAGTATACGGCAGTTCTTTTCAAAGGCAGCCTATAAGGTAAATGCACGAGGGCTGAGTTACCTCAGGGCTGTTTCTGGTTTAAGAATATAATTTGGCTCTGGAGTAATGAAAGTCATGTTGAGGTGGCAAAGCTGGAAGTTCCTGATTACAGATTTATCACCTTGCCAGGATATAGGCTTGCCATTTAACCTTCCTGCCTCCAGTTCCAGATGATCCATTGAGCTCCAGAGAGGGAGACTGGTTTGAGTTTCCCTTTTCCCACATCATTCAGAAATTTTAGTGTTTTAAGGCAAAAGGTCATTAACCAGATGACTGATTAGTGAGGACAGCTGATTAGAGCATGTTATTTTGCTCAAGAAAGTGCCCAGGATAAAAGCTAATTTCATCCCTTCATTAGTTGGCTGGAAGCAAGGGGAAGGCTCACTCATCAGATCAAAGCGTCTTGCAGCAACCTTAAGTCCCAGCAACTGCTTCTCCCACCAGAATATATTGTTGGAAAATATGGGCAATGCAATAATTTTTAAGTAGAAAGGACTTTTTTGTCAGAAGCATGAGTATATGGTTGTTTGGATTTTTTTTGGAGGGGAGGGATGGTCAGCTTTTAAAAAGTTAATGGTTTTCTTAAAAATAAAATGCCCATTGGTCTCATTATTGAAAAGGTGTCTGTTGAAGCAGAAACAAAGAGAGAGGGGTTTGGACAACTATTTTTCCTTCTTCCTTTCCGGCTTACTTCATTTTGTTTTTTCTTGACTTTTAGGGATGAAGATTTAAAATAGTGTTGATAGTATGCTTTTCCTCTGGTCACATTTTGAAGTCTCTAGTTGTGTTTTTATTTGTGATCTCTTTTGAATATCATTCATGCAGAAATAGTAGGGATTCCTGTACAGTCCCCACCTGAATTTCTGTATCCTCATGCTAGGCACACTCACTGTGTTGTTCAAACCTGCTCATGAGCTCCTCGAAGTGTTTTGTATTTTTGTGTGAACACAAGCTTTTCCCATCACAGGGATGTTTTGTTTTTTTCTAAATGCCCACTAATTAGTGAGGTATTTAATTAGTCCAGACAGCTGATGAGCACGTCTTTCTATTGGCCAATGGTAGTGGAACCGTTAACTTTCTGTCCAGTTTGCAGCTTGTTCTTGCTTCCTTTGTTTTAATGCTTTCCCACCCAGGCATCTCTCCATCCTTTGAGGGACTAGCTTTCCCTTCACTGGGACTCCTGTCCTCACCCAGTGGTCTGTGTGACCCATTTTCTGACTCACCAAATTAATGTTAACTAACACTGCCTGGAGATCGTGTATTATGGTTTAGACTCATTCGTTGCTCTTTTAGTTTGACGATATAGTACTTGTACATTTATTATTTTTGTTATTTTCCTATTGGACTATACAAGTGAATGTTGAAGTAAACTTCCAGTCTGTGATCTTGATTTGTGACCCCTTGACAAGTCAATGTTGGACACCCCCAAATGTTTTCTCTAACTTGGGTACATTATGTAGATAGCTATGTGCAGAAAGTCTAGAAAACTGAACAGATTTGGGTTCTGATTGCAGTGCTTCATTTGCTAGCCCTATGACCTTGACCCATTGTGTTGACTCCCAAGAATCATTTGCTTGCTCTCAGCTATGTGTAGTGACGTGACTTTCCGTGCCTAGGGGTTCTTCTGCAGTTGAAGCAATGACATGAAGTCTAAGTGAACCCTGGGGCATGCTTAGTGCCTCAGATGATGAAGCCAGTCTGCTCTTCTTCTGCCTGTGCTTCCCTTTATTTCTTCTCTTCCTCCGCCACCATCATCACATCGCTCCTGAAGCCATGCCATTTCTGAGACAGTGCATTTGTTTGGTTTTTCTGACAGACCCAGACACCTCTGTCTATAGACACAGATTAGAAAATGAGTGAGCTCTAGGCAGGAGCAAAGGAGGAGGGGGGAGCAAGAACCACGCCCGTAACTTCTCTAAAGGCAGGCTTTCCCATGCAACCCTAGTTTATTCTGGCTTTTCTCTGCTTTGTAAGAAAAGACATTGAAAAGTTTTTAGGTTTGCTCTAGAGGTTATAACATTCTACATGTAGCAAGTAAAAATATAGTAAAAATGTACAGTATTATTTGTTGATACAAAATAATTAAAAAGATTCTAAACCAAGCTTATATCAGATAGGGTATGACTTTATTTTTCTAGAACCCTGTTTGGTTATTTAATCTCCTAGTTATACCAAGCGGGTTTTTGTTTAACATGTTTATGATCAAATCTGCATACCTCACATGGACTTAATTATCCAGGCAGTGCTAATGACTAATGTGAGCTAAAGGTAATAAATGTCCTAAGAATTTAAAAAATGTATTTGAAAGAGGCATAAAATTTTATCCCATTTCTGTTTCTTGTGGATAAAGCTGTCTCCCGAAGTGCTGGCCAAGCTTGAGTGTATGGCAGACCTTTATAACTCGATGTTCAGTAACCTCTCTGTAGGGTATTCAGGCTTCTTTCCTGTGTTTGCCAGCTCTTTGAGACAGTTGGATAGAAAACTCTCCATGAATCCAATGTGGCTGGCTATGAACAGTCAGTAATTCCTTCGATTCTCTGTGGTTGGAAAATGTAGAATTTTCAAAATGCCTAATTTGTGCTTCTATATATACTAATTTTGTATTTCTAAAGTGTGGGTAGGTTTCCTGTAAGACCAGAAAAGGGAAGGGAAAAAAAAACCTCAAAAACATCTTTTTCCCTTCTGAAGGACATATGTAAAATTTTTATTGCATAAGATTTTATTATAATGGGTATGCAGTACTGCATCTTCACAAACTGTAGTTAGACAGAATTCAAAGTATTTTAGGGTTTGTGGGTTTGACTTTAAAAATATGAAAAGAAAAGAAAGAAAGCCCAGGGATAGCGGGCACTTCAAACATTCTCAACATGTGTTTGGAATGAAATCCACACGGTGGGGTGGGGTGTTCTCTCATGAAGGGTAGCTGTACATGGGCTGTATATCAGGGCAAGAGAATAAGTACGCAAGTTGCATGGCTCAGACATGATGTGGTGCTGACAGCCTCTTGGCCACAGCATTACTCACATGTTATAATTTGGGATACCTTGGGGGGGGCTACATTTAGGGATCCTATCTTCTTATACTAGAGTCAGGCTTAGAGACTCCATCTCTTGCCCAAAGATTCCTGAGCAAAGATTCTCTCCTCCTGCTCCATCTGTAGCCAGATATTTCAAACCCCTCTCACCCGCTGCTTTCATTCGGTGCTGTACATTTATTGTTTTATAAACCTGGAAAGGCAGGTGACATAATAGTTCAAGCATTCCTTCTACCCTGACTGACACTTAACTTTTATTCTCGGCCCTTTTACAGAAAACATATGTTTCACTGTCTTCCCTCTCACTTCGAAGGCTGTAGTTTTGTAACCGTCCCTGTAGGGTTCTGTGAGTGAAGTTGGTTGGAGTCACTGAGCATGTCATAGCAGAAAAATTTCTTCTCTTTCAGAAGTTCAAGTCTCCTTCATAGTTTTATAGTTGTGCACTGACTGCTTTTTTTTCTGCACCTCCCCCACTCCCAAGTAGTAATTCTTCATGGAAAATATGATGCATTCTTGCATGCAAATGCTTTGATTGAAAACAGACCACTGGTATTCTCCCTTATGTTATCCAGCTCGGATGACAGAACTATTAGTTGCTAATTAGCAAAACCTGAGGAATTAGCTTAAAGAAAAGAAATGGAATTTTTAATTGGCTTGCATTTATTTTCTGTAGAAAGCTATTGTGCTGAGCCCACTTGTAGTCTTGTGTGTTTAAAAAAAGAATTAAAAGAGCACATGCAAAGTGTTGTTGTTGTTTTTTCCCCCTTACCTGTCCATCTTTGTGTTAGCTGACTTTCCACAGCCTTGGAAATACATCTTGTGACTGAGGGGGAGAGGATCCGAATTTTACATATTTAATAGGTGCACCTGCTCACATTCCTTCTACTTTGCAGTTGTCATCTTGAGACTGTAGAGATAAAAATGCCTACAAGGCACGAGTGAACAGTTTGGTGTTGACCGAACTGCAAAGGTAGTGACAGTTCCCTGAGCACATAGTTTAAACTTCATCTGGATTGTCTTTTCCTCTTTGGAGAACTGCTGATGAGCCAAGCAGGATGTTTTCTTTCCCTACTGAATGTTAGATTATTTAAGTAGAGGGACTGATGCTGGGTTGTTCTAGGGGGGATGTGGGGGGGGGTGGTCTATGCTGACTATCTTGCTTCCTAGCTGTGTGGGGAGGGATGGGAGTGATGCTGGCAGAAAGAGTCTCCAAACCTTGCATATCTGTTATTTCTGAGTTCACTGCTTTTCTTGTCTTTTTTCAAAAGTTCAACTTAACATTGGTGCTTGGTTGCAGGGACCCAAGA